AATAATAATAATAATAATAATAATAATAATAATAATAATAATAATAATAATAATAATAAAAACATCCATTGAAAAATCTTAATATTATAAGAAGGAGTATATTGCTTTATGAAAAGAAGTAGAATGAAATCTTACTAGGATTCCTAAAACAGTAAAGACTTGCAGCCATTGTAGACCTAGAGAAAATGTGCAATAAATATGTAAAAAGCAAATTTATTAACTTGGTTCCGGCCTATTATGAGAATGAGGCTAACTGAAGACTAACTTTCCACACATAGTGATGATCAATCAAAAGGTACCCTGTTGATCCTCATAAATCTCCCTACAGAAGGCTTTTTTCTTCTAGCTTCACAGGCTTTCTGCCTGCTGCTGCTCCTGTCAGATTGATTCTGAAAAGATCCTTGATGTCATCGTCTTTGCACTTGTACTTAAGCCAGCTTTTCTCAGGGGGACTAGTTGGCAGGGAACATGCTGATTAGGGAGTCATTAGGACATGTGTTGTCTGAATCCATTTCTAAAAAATGGAGATTCCTATTAGCGGTGCTGAGAGCAGAGTATTCAGAGCTCAAGAAAAGATGCTTCCAAGAGGGGCTTCTCTGGCTTGGAAGAAACAGAATGTGCGCTTTGATCCTGAGCTCTTGAATTTCAGGGCAGAGTATGATTTGAGAGAACTAGACAAATGTCTATCTTAAATTTAGTGGCTTTTAATCTTGCCTTACAGATAGGAATATTACGGGCCAACGTGTAGAATATAACATTAATACCCATTAGAATAACAAATATTGGCCTGTACATGTTTATTTATTTTTTATCATAAGGTACCAAAAGGATATCAAGGACTATGCTGTTTTGCATGGTCCTGTTTACACAGATAGCTGAGGAAGTCCAAGAATACCAGCGTAGTTCATCTGAGCAATTGCTTTATTACTGTATATGTATATGATCAGGGAACATGCATGATATAAGTGCCAGAGAATATACAGTAACTGGACTAATGAAAGATAATGTTAATGAACTCTCCTGGTATCAGTCTTGTGAGAAAGTCCAGCTAAGAAGCACAACCTATTAACTGTCTATATTATAAGGTTATATTAACAAAATCTTGTAAGTTTGAAAGTACATCTCTCTCCTCTCTCATCTTTACTGTCCAAGAAACTAAGGATAGTCCATTTTTGTCGCTTTCTCATTCCTTCTGTGAGCTTAGCTTCTTCTTTTTCAACCATTGTGAAGTCTGTGAATCTTCCTCATCTCCCAAGGCATTCCCACATATCAGTCCACCTGTTGCTTACCATATCCATAAAATTTGTGAGTGCTTCTCAAATAAAAAGTATTTGTCATGCACTGTGATTCATGATTCATTAATGATTTCTTGAAAAAGTCATTTCATCAGGTGGGCTTTACTTATAAAATTTTCTGGGAATCACTGCTTAATGTAGTTTAATTTAGATTTTCAATTGCGTAAAATCAATTTCATTAGAACTGCTTTCTTTTTAACAAGAAGCTAAAGCTCACGTTTAATCTTGCAACACAAAAGAAGAAATGTGTGGTCTCGCTTGTAGAATGCAATCTATATAAAGAAAAACCTGTTTCTTTAAACACTAGTCACAACCCAAACGGGTTGTGTCATTTTGTATGTGTAGTGCTGAGACCTGGCCTGCTCAAGTTGTAGCCACACTGATGAATTAAACCACACTGATGAATTAAAAGTCCTCACAGGCTGCAAAGAAATATCTGACATGCTATGAGCTGTTTTGGGGCTGTAGCACTGGCAATAGTAATAAGTCTTGGAGATGCTTGCCATCACATTTTTGGGGGTAGTGGCAACAGTGAATTTATTACTTTTTTAAAAAAAGGTCAGTGGGTTGCATAATACGTCATGTGTTTTGCAGGCCAGGCTTAGATATCATTCAATCCCCTAAACAAAGAATTCTGGTAGTATTAGAATTATTGAAAATATGGCCAAGGAACCAAATTGTGCTGAGGCATTATGACAAATCATATATTCCACAGTGATATATAAATGATATCCTTAATGATGAGTGCAAAACGAGCAGCTATTTACCCTTCCCTTCTTTCCATAGGGAAAAGTTGTCTGTGGCTCGGCTACAGCAAGAAGTTGCCCGCAGTAAGAGTGACGGAACAATGGTAAGTTTTGGCAGTCCTCCAATTTGTATTTACAATTGTATTGAAGTTAAACCTTCAAGCATGCTGACTTTGATAGCAAGTAGAACCAAAATATAAATGCAGTCAAAACTTTATTAATGTATCTTTCTCTTTTTTGGTGGGGAACATCAAAATCTGGGCAAGGTAAGAATCGTGGGAAAAGGTTATCAGTAAAAATACTGATTTCCCTTCTGATGACCAAGTGAAAAATCATAGTAATTAAGTACATAAATAGGCAATTAGAGATTGGAATTAGATACACTTGATTAGTAATTAATCACCCATTACTGGCAATTGACAAAGAAAGCCATGAAAATGCTTGAAAGATTGATTATGCTAATCCTTAGTCTTAGATCCATTCAGATTTTCCCTAATTTTTTGTTGTTGTGAGATTCATTTACAGTATAGCATTAGAAAGCTACAGTGCAAAATTAGCATTGGTAATCACAGTATTGATTTAACAAGATCTAAATTTTTCATGAACCTTACTGCACTTTTGTTTTATGCCCTCACTTTGTGAATGAGGTCTGCTTACGCTGAGCTCTGAAGGATCATATGAAGATAAAAGCTTGATTCAATATAATGGTAAATCGGGATTTAGCACCATCTGGAAGAACTTCTGTGATGCTGAATGAACCCTAAGTCTTTCATTCTTTCCTTTCTGTCTGTTTACATGGTCAGGAGGAGGATTCAGTTACTGTGATTTGTGCCTTGCTATTACATACAAGCCAGAGAACATTCATTAAAGCAAACTCTGGTTAGGAAACCAAGTTAGGTTTTGCAGTCCAATTAGCAATGTATAAGTATTAATTTTAAACTGAATTGCCTGATGTGTAGCCTATAATAAACTAGAAATTGTGGAAACTGGGTCGTGATCATATTCTCCTTTGAGCTATGTTATAAAAGAGGTAACCTAGAGGTTTTTCTGGGTCTACAGTATCATTCATATGACACAACAATGAATACAAGCACAACCAAAATTCTAGAATTGGCTTCTTCTAATTTGAAATTTAATGAGACCAATAATTGTTTTATATATGTACGTGTATAAAACCCAAACTATGTTATAGTTAAAAGCCTGGTGAAAGAGATGCAGTTTACAGACCTTCTAAGCACCAAGATAATAAACGAGAAATACAACTTTTGAAGCATCCCTTTTTACTGATAGATCAATTTAATACTTTTTATTGGCTAACATTTTTTCTAAATACTTTTGTCTGTCCCTCTGATATGTTTTGAAATTTAATATTTCACTTACCTATGTCATTTGGCATTTGTTCTATGCCAGTCTCTATTCAGCTGAGGATGAAATTGATTGTGGAAAAAAGTATCACAAAACAAGTGGGGGGAAAAATCTAATAAAAATTGAATGGAACATGCTGTCTCTTTGTTTCCGGTATCGTAATCATAAATATGATTTTGGCATTTTGGGGACCCTTTAAAGGGATGCCCATCCATAAAGCTGAATGCTCATCACTATATAATATAAATGGACAAGCTTAAATTTAATTCAAAATTAATTGCTCCTTTGAATATAATATTTTGAGCAAAATCAGCACTGGTAATAGAATTACAGGTTCTCCTTGATTTACAACCATGTGTTTATTAACTATTCAAAGTTACAATAGCATTGAAAAAAGTGACTTACAACTGGTTCTCGCGGTCTCAATTGAGGTTGAAAATAGAAGACTTCCTGTACTTTAGGATATATCATTTTCAGAGGTGGTATTCAGCAGGTTCTGACCAGTTCTGGAGAACCGGTAGCGGAAATTTTGAGTAGTTCAGAGAACCGGCAAATACCACCTCTGACCGGAGATTTTACAGTATCCTTCCCTTGCCATGCCCCCAAGCCACGCCCACAGAACCGGTAGTAAAAAAAATTAAATCCCACCACTGATCATTTTGCATTTATTTATTCCACAATAAAACCTAAGTTTCTCTTTGAGGCAGTAGTTTGGATCCCATGTTTATTATAATCGATGGAAACTTGGGCTTGAGATACATCTGAGATGCTGAGATCCTAGAGACAGGACCAGCACGGCTTCTGAGTGTCTCAGTTGCCTGTTTTTATACAGGACTGGGACATAAACCTCCTCTTGCCCTACTTCAGTTTCCTGTAATAGAAACAACTTTAGCAGCTGGCTTTTTAATTATAACTAGTATCTTTCATAGTTCAAGAATTTATATGGCCTCTTCTCAGCAAGTCTAGGGCCAGTGATGCTAAGGCTTCTATTTCTTAGTTCCCAGGCAATAATAGCTGTATCTTGCTTGGTGATAGAACTTTTCCCATCAGGTGGGTAAAAAGTTCAAAGGCTGAATTTTCATGTCTCAATGAATGCTTATTGTCAGAGGCAATATAAGAACATTGTCTCTCCTATTGACTTGGTTTTCTCAAAAGGACACCACTAATAGCTCTATTGCAAATGGGAATCCAAACTACGATTCTGTTGTCTAAATTGGAACTACTAGCTTAATCTGACAGATGCATTTAGATAGGACTCTCTCTGTGTACTTTTGGATCAGATAGTGGCATCCTTGATTCCTGGTCTCAAGGAAAAAGATTTCAATTCGTCAGTTTTGCTGTCTTGGTCTTCTAGACAGTTTAAAAAGCTCTGGAGAAGTTTTCAAGTGCCAGGAAAAAGGATCTGTGGAGATCCTATCTTTGGGCATTCTGGCCCAATTCTTCATCCAGTTTATGAGATCAAGAGGATGAAGAAGTATGTCCTGATATGTTATGCCAGATAAAGCTGATATCCTTCAACTTTACTTTTAAAGTCATTGAAAAAGGCTTTTCTAATAGGCGTGAGGAAGCTGTGATTTGATTTCTGTGGGCTTGTTTCTCTGTGCAGCTGCCTATAGTTGGTGGTACATTAGGCCTTTAGTTCTACTTGAGATTCTTTGCAGTTATCTCATTCAGATGTGAGGATTTTCGAGAGCTTTTAGTGGTTTTTTTGTGCTTTATTTCAATTCTGTAAATCTCTGCAGTTTTCAAGAACCATTATAAATAAATAAAAGAGTAACAAGAATTAGAGAGGCAATAACTGTTCAGTAGTTTCAAATAACAAAATGTTCTGTTATAAAACATGATACAACAATAAATGTATTCAGTATTGGTGTGGGAAAAACGTCCACTTAAATTAGGAATTAGAGGGATTTGAGATGTATCAACAAAGTGTCTTTTATTGTTGCATGTGCAATTACAGTGGTCACAGGAATCCTCAGCCAAGGTTGTAGAAGAGAGTTTTTAGATTAAATTATTTTGGTTTATTACTTAGAAATGATAAAGAAATACTGCAAATCGCAGTGTGAGAATCTATACTGGAATACTTCTGATAATACACTGGGATGATTGTAGGACATCACCCCTGCATTCCTTTAAACACAATCTGTCTGTAAGATAAATGCATACAATTGGGAATTTCTCATGATTCATATTTCAGCACAAATCATTTTTTTCTGTTTGGTAGCCTTTGTCTCAATGAAGCATTTCATTGTATTCCTTTAACCTTTATTAACTCTTATCACTTTTTTGTTTATTTTTTAGGCTGTAGCATAAATTACAGCTGTCAAGATCTTTATTTCATAAAGATTAAAGCCAAATCAATTCTTCAATTAGTCTTTCAGGTTGGCATAGATTTCACTAAGGATAGGCCAGAAGTCCTTATTTTGCTATGTTCCCTGCTGTGGGTTTAAGTAATACAAAGTGATTATCATGGCTTCTACTCTGCATCTGTCTAATTCACACCTGCACCCTTTTGTAGAAGCACAACACTTTAACTGAATATGAGGTCCCAATTGGTTTGGTTCTTTTCCTTTTTAAAATCCTTGAACGTTAGATTGATTTATGAATGTATCAGATTCTTTGTTAGCGTGTAAACTACTAATTAATTTAAAGCTCCTCTGGGAAAAATTAAAGCCCTGGTTAAGACTTTCAACAGGCTCAGATGGTGCTAATAATAGGAAAGCAAGTTATATTAATGAATTTAAGTGTAATCTTTCCTATCACATCCCTTCTCCCAAATTACTTCCATATGCAGGAAAAAGCTGGACCAAACTAGATGGAACCAAAAAAGAGTTAGAAGATAAAGCAACATCTTAAATCTTGAATTAAATAGTGACTGTGGCTATTTTGGTGGTGGTTTAATTTTATACTCTTTAAATTAATATTATAACTATATCCTGACTAGATGGTATGTGATTAAGAAAAGCTATATACTTTATAAATGCAGGTCTTTTATTAATAACTTTGTTCATATTTGTTAACACTTTATCAAATTACTAATACTTTTTAGCTACAAATTTGTTGTGCATTTATATCCCTTTTAAGTGAGTGAGACAGAACATGTTCATAATAAATTGAGTTGATTGCAATGATAAATCTGCCCTTGCCTAATGATATTCCAAACGCTGTCAGAAGAAGCTCTGTATGGATTGAGAACCTCGCTCCCCCAATTCCCCTAAAGACTTTCAACTGTACAGACACCATTCTACTACATGGTGACCTCAACTTATGACCACAATTGACCACAGTTGAGTCTAAAATTTCTGCTGCTAAGCAAGACAGTTAAGTGAGTTTTGCCTGATTTTACAACCTTTCTTGCCACAGTTGTTAAATGAATGACTGCCATTGTTAAATTAGTAACACGGTTTTAAGTAAATCTGGCTCCCCCGTTGACTGCTTGTTAGAAAGTAGCAAAAGATGATCTCATGACCCTGGCCACTGCAACTATCATAGATACACAACAGTTGCCAAGCATCTAAATTTTGACCATGTGACTGTGGAGATGCCACAATGGTTGTAAGTGTGAAAAACAATTGTAAGTCACTTTTTTATTGTAACTTTGAACGGTCACTAAGTCAAGAACAACCAAAAAGATCCCATTGCTTCTGAGACTTTCTGGAAGGGGCTACTCACTAGAAGAGCCATAATGGGCAATGAGATTCCTATTAGTGGATAGGCTTTCATTAGAGTACATAAGTGT